AGGGTAATTTAAGACATAAGGACAGGGGGAAACCTGATATTAACTTAGACGGATAACTTTAATCCCTGTATATATTTTTTAGTGTATTACTGAATATAAAATTACATTATATATTAGTAAATATATTCTCACATTTTTAAATATATGAAAATGACTTGTTTCTATGCAAAAAGTGACTTGAATGACATGTTTCATTCAATATATTGTAATATATTATCACCATATATTATTCTGTATGTTTTCAAATATACTGTTAAACCATTTCATATATTGATCATTCATATAGGGAATATTTTCTTTTCATAAGGGGACCCCAGACAGTTAAATATTATTTTGTAACATGATTTTTTTTAAACATGTAAAATCAATCACTTCATTTATGTTTTTAGTCTAAATATTTTTTTATTTGCCTTAATTTCATTATTAGACATACTAGCAACGTTAGGTCAAATTCACTGTAAAGATGTACAATTCTTAGTTTCATTCATGGTAACATGAAAAAGGAGCCATAATCTAGTAATGGAAGATTGCTGCAATCTCCTGGACAAACACTTAATAACATGATTTTTTTTTTAACAAAAGCCACTAGATTTAACTCATAGCCTACAATCAGACATCATTTCAATTTATTTATTTATTGTTTTTCGATATATTAACGTTAAATGTGAGCTTAGTCATCAAGTGTCATGCCAAAAATGAATGGAACTTTTTTTATGTAAGCACTAAGCAAACGTCAAGAATTTGTCCAATTTCGATCTTTTCACAACTCCCTGAAAACTATCAACAAAACGGACAACATCTGATATTCTTACTTTTGTCAGATAACGTTATATGAATGACTGGGAGAGAAAACAAGCTGTTCAAAGTCCATTTTGAAAATGAATAGCGATTCGGGCGGGCGGCACGACCAGAAGTCTTTTTGCCGTCTGTGTCTGGCGTGATTTAACGTCTCCCCATTTGTTCCATGAAAACCCGTAAGACACGGAAAGCTGTGAAGTGATAAATAGGGTTGTTTATTCTTTGGGTTGACATAAACACCATAAAAAAAGGTAAGCAACAGGACTAAACCGCTTATAGTTTCCGCATTTGTCCTCCGACTGTAACTGCTAGCGCTTTCACCGGAAAAGAGTTTACCCTACTTCCGGTCTTGGGGGCCATCTTGTGAAATAGGCCTATTGTTGTCATTGTTAGTTATCTAGTTTTCTAGGTTTTTAAAAAAAAAGATGACATTTGAACCAACCCTGAGTTGCTAGGGTCAAATAAAGGGATTGTTCACCCAAAAATGAAAATTCTGTTATCATTTACTCACCCTTAAGTTGTTCCAATCCTGTATGAGTTTCTTCCTTCTGCTGAACACATAAGATATTTTGAAGAATATGGGTAACCAAATAGTTGATGGGCCCCATTAACCCGTCATTCAGATGAGATGTTAAATCGAGGTCCGGACTTCCCAGGATGTCCTTCGGAAAAGAGTAGGGGTTTAACCTCGGCATCCTGGCCAAATTTGCCCCTTGGCCTCTGTCCATCATCATGGCGTCCTAATCATCCCCATATACTGATCGGCTTCATCAATAAGCTGGTGTGTGGTGGGCGTTCTGGCACAATATGGCTGCCGTCGCATCATCCAGGGGGATGCTGGACATTGGTGGTGGTTGAGGAGATTCCCCCATGTGAAGCGCTTTGAGTACCAGAAAAGCACTATATCGAATTATTATCTTCCACATATGGAAAAAAATACTATGGTAGTCAATGGGGTCCATCAACTGTTTTGACATTTTTCACAATATTTTCTGTTGTGTTCTGCAGAAGAGACAAATTCATACAGGTTTGGAACAAATTGAGGATGAGTAAATGATGACAGAATTTTCCTTTTTGGGTGAACTGTCCCTTTAAGCGATAGGGTCACAATGTAAATGATTCACTTGATCTATTGTCTCGTTACTCTTCACTCTTAAAAATAAAGTTTTTTTGGTAACACTAAGGTTCATTAGTTAACTACCTTAGTTAACATGAACTAACAATGAACAATACTTCTTCAGCATTTATTAATCTTATATTATATTCAGCATTTACTAATACATTATTAAAGCCAAAGGTTGTGTTTGTTGACATTAGTTAATGCACTGTGAACTAACATGAAAAAACAATGAACAGCTGTATTTTTACTAACTAACATTAACAAAGATGAATAAATACTGTAACAGATGTATTGCTCATTGTTAGTTCATGTTGGTTAATACATTAACTAATGTTAACTAATGAACCTTATTGTAAAGTGTTACCGTTTTTTTATTGGCATACCGTTGGCAAAATATAAGTAAGCTTAATATATATGAAATCATCATTTATTGAGTACTTTTAATTGGGAGGAGGCTGTCCCCAACCCTAACCCCTAAATTTCAACTTGTGAAAATGATATTGAAATGTTTTTTTTTTTTTTTTTTTTTTTTTTACACATTTTTCATTGTAGATGGAGACCAACATTTTGAGGAGAATGTGTTAAAAAGTCTGAAAATCTGTGTGTAACTTTAAGGAACATAACTACCAAGCACCTTTATTCTGCAATTAAGCTAATTTTTTGGGGGGGTTATTCCATTAAATTGAGTTTTTGTGTTACGGTTCAGAACTGTGCTAGTTAACCATGTGCTGATTAGCATATTTGAGCTAGGCTCAAAAGTATCTAAAATTGTCACTACCGAAACATGTCATCATTGTAGTGACAAAAGGGAACACATATTTATTTGGGGGAAATAAACAAAATTTTTGTAAAGTTATGGAAATCATTAATAGTATGTTTTAGCATGCGAGTTAAAATTCTGTAATGTGATGTGGTGGCTATACAAAACATTACTGTCACTGCCGGAAATTTGCCGTCACAACCGAAGCATGGATGTTTTGTCTAAAATAAAGTATATTGAATTATCAACTAAGATGTTATTACAGTGTTTGGTTCAATGTATATTCAAACTAATGAATTCTTAACTTTGATATTAGTATGATTATGTCACAGGCCAATGCTTTTTACAAAGAAAGATTGGATTAAAAATACAACAAATCTTATAAATTACACTTGAAATACTGTTAAAATGCTAATTGTTATTGATTTACCTGTAAAAACTTTTTTTGAATAGCTAAAAATATATTTACAAGGTATATGTAAACAAAATATTAATAGGTCATTATAAGCCTTCTTACTAAATTATGTATTATTGTGGTTTGGTAGTGACAAATTTGGGGAGAGGAAAAATATTCCAAAACTTTCTGAAAATACAATATGAAAATTAACTGCACAATTACTAGAAATGTGTTGGATATTATACAATTTGTATACAAACAAAACTTTTCCTTTCAAGACGTTTCCAAGTCGGACTTTGAACCAATTCTGTGGAATGGCCCGTATAGCAGCGGTGCAGCGCCCAGAATTTCCTAAGAAATAAAAATTGTATTCTTGAATATTACGAACAAACAATAACTTTTCAGTGGCCTTACTCTGAGGGTCTCGTAAAAAAAAAGAAGAAAAAAAAGAGGACATTTTACATGCTACTATGTGTCACGCACAGTTGCAGTAAGCAGACGATGATGAAGAAGATTATGTTAAAAGTCTTTCATGGCAAACTCAGAAGGCAATCCAAAAAATGTTGACGAAGAAATACAACTAATGCATTAACGAGAACGGACCACTCAACGCTGAAAAGACTGCGAGTTGTTGTACAGTGGCAGGACTTGATCTGACTTGACTGATTTTCATTTGCATATACTGTATTGACACAAGGATTTGAATACCTAAGTTAACATACTTGGCTGGCATGAGTGATCATTTATCAAGAAATGTCTCATAGGCATTCTGAGGTTTTATCAGAAAACAAATAAAGAAGAAGCTATTGACCAGAAATGCTCAGCTTATAGCTTGTGCCCTGTGAAGCAATTTAGCCTAAATATGTTTATCAATTGTAAATAATTCACATACTTGGTGAATTTATGATTAAAAAGCTGGATATTAACATGATTTGATACACTGAGCATTTTTTCCTTTTCTCTTTAGCCAGTCACAGAATATTTGATAAATCATTACTGATTGTTGGCTTGCCATCAGAAATTCATGTATAGCAGCGATGCAGTGCCCAGAATTTCCTAAGAAATAGAAATTATATTCTTGAATATTATTAACAAACAATAACATATTGAACTTTTGAGTGGTCTTACTCTGAGGGTCTCGTTAATAAAATAAAAATAAAATAAACTTTTTCCACTAATCAACTTGCTTTGGGCCACATGACTCTTTTGTGGTTATTTGTAGCCAACATTAAGACATCTATACCTATTGTGATGCCGTTTTTAAAAAACATAGGCCTGCCTGCAGGGTTCATTCCTTCCAAATGAACAAACAGATTGATTTTTTTCCAAAGTAACATCACAGTTTCAAAGTGATTGCACATTCTTATAGTTTGGCGCTATCAAACTCCTCTTGTTGTACAGTGGCAGGACTTGATTTAACTTGACTGATTTTCATTTGCATATACTGTATTGACACAAGGATTTAAATACCTAACATACTTGGCTGGCATGAGTGTTCATTTATCAAGAAATGTCTTATAGGCTACTGTTATAGTTATATGGTCATAAGTTATATATTTTATACTCATCATTAAAAATATATCATAAATATATTAATTACAAATGCAAAACTGGTTTCTGCTGCACTGGATGCATTTTTGGAGGCCTTACACAAGCCCATACCATAAAAGCAAACCATAAACTCTAATAGAGTGTCTAAAAAGCCGAATGTATTTTATAATATCATGCACAGAAATAAACATGCAATCTTTCCTCCTAGAAAATAATAATAATAACAATAGTCACTTAAGTTACTAATGTGAAATATGTGGACCAACATTTTGTCCTTTGGCAAATAGGATGTCAGTGTCTTATAATGACAAAGATTCAGATGAGTTCAGATGAGTTTCTGTCAATCACTTCTTTGTTATAAACACATACGCTGGGAATGGGGCAGGGCTTACAAGTGTTTAAAAGCTTGAAGTACGGCAAAAGTGTGTAAAGACGGAGAAGATTACCAGTCACTTGGCTGAAAATTCATTGCATCTTTGAAGGTACATATTCATCTTATTTATCTTATTTATGTCAGTAATGCAATAAGTCGAAGCTCGAAAGTCTCATAGGAAGGGAAGACCTATATTCCGTTTGTATACAAACTAATTTATTTAAAAAAAAAAAAACACTTTATGCATTGTATACTTGTAGGAATTTAATTACTTTGTCTGTAGTCTGTAACATATGCAAAATAAAGTACATCTGTACATTTACTTCTGTAGATGTTGTTCTGTAAGGATTTATTATACTGTGTTTATGAATGTTTTATGTCTGTATTCCCGCAGCATAAACAGTTGAGCATTGTGCTAACAATAGGTTTGATAAAATGTATACTTTGAATGAAATGAAAGTCGTTTGGATAAAAGCCTAAAATGGAAAATGTAAAAGTTCCAACACAGAAAAATCAAAGGTAACTTTTATTAAAGAAATGTAATATCTTTGTATTATTGTTGTAATTTCCTCTTTTTAATAGTAAAGAAATCCAGACAGATTTCAAAATGCCTCCTCCAGCGGTTCCACACGGCATGTGTCTAAAAGTCATGGATGACCGCAACATGAAGGGTGGCATGGGCTCTGCAACACATCCTTTGAAGTTCATGGATCAGGACTACAACTCTTTACAAGACGTCTGTCTTAAGAAAAGAATGAGATTTGTTGATGAGTTTTTCCCGCCAGACCCTCGTTCCATTGGCGAAGGGCTGCTGGAGCCAGAAGTCATGGCCCGAGTGGAGTGGATTAGACCAATGGTATGTAATCTATACTTCATCTTTAACGTGTTCTGATAATAATGCACACCTAATTAGAAGTGTAAACTTGTAAAATTTTAATAGAAAGCTAAAAGATCTGACTATGACAATCTAAACGCTTTAAAGAAATTAAACGACACTACTAAAAACCACTATCAACCAACATTCCTTTTGACAGAATGCATCCGTTGATCACAAGTCAAATACTGAAAAATTTACTTATTTTCTTTCAGAAATTGTATCCAAAAGCTGCATTTATTGTAGACACAGTGTCCAGGTTTGACTTCGCCCAAGGGAAGATAGGTATGTCTGAGTACCCACAATATTGTTGTTTTATACACTTAAAGCGTGGGTTGGCAGTTTTGGAGACACTAGCAATAGCAAGATTTAGCTTTGAACGCATCCCACCCTCCCTTCAGAGCTTCTCCAAAGCCACGCCTCCTTCATAACACTTGAACGCGCAAAGCCAGAGAGTCTGCAAAGCATCATAAGAGACAGCGTTAAATTACCTCACGCCTCAAAGCACATAACACTACAATAATATTGAATGTAAAGTGAACAACATACAGAGTTCTTACTTGTACCAACCGACTGATGCAAATACATTTCGGCATTGATAGTGTTGCCAAAGAAAGCCAAAAATCCGAGCCTGAGGACGTGAACGTCACGGATTGCCATCTCGGTAATTGGGAGGGGGGTGGATTGGGTAGTTGTAAAAAAGAAAATCTTGCATCACAATAAGTGGATTGTGATTGTCAAAACATTTTAGTTACTAAACAGATTTTATTTAGGTTTAGTGAAAAATTTTACAATGTTTAGGCCTATATGGTACAATTTCTGGTAAGTTACGTTTTTTTTAAAATAGGCCTACTGCTTGACAAAAATTTCACGATTTATATTCAATTAAATTATTGTGATTTGATTTAATAGTGACTCATTTCGATAAATATTAGGTACACAACATAGGCGTTAATTTTTCAAAAAAAAACAACAAAAAAACTCACCTAATGCTGTAAACATACAGAGAGCCCTATCAGCTGGTAGTATAAGGTTAAAAGTAACTACAATTAAATATAATGTTTTTTTTATTATAATAACTTTATTTAAAGGTATAAGTAAAAATATAATAAATATGTAATATAGTACACATATTTAGCAAAATAGGCCTACTCTCTATAGCTCTTTTAGCCAACTAATGTGGTCAAATGGCTTTCCTGAGGTAAATGTTATATGTGACATAATTTTGTACAGATTTGCATTTTATTCTTTTTCTGCCCTCTGAGCAACACACTAGGTGGTGTTATAATAAGTGCATTAGAGTTTTACAATAATTTCCCCTTTCAAATCCTTGTAAGCTCCAAGAACCATACATCTGATTTTGTTTGTTCGTAGGGAAATTTCCCCGCCATTTTGAACTTTCTGGAAAATCTATTTTTTTGGTTTGATGGTTCAATTTGCACAAAACTTGGCATGCATCATCCTAATACCCTCATGACAAAGTGTAGAAACATAATTTTATATTGCTCTTACAATATAGTTTTATATAATTAGTATACAATTTATCCCAATAATATTACACACTTAAAGACTTATTATATTTGAAAAGATGCATGAACATCCCTATATCCTTTAGTCCGAGCCATAGTGCCTGTGATTGCCTCTTGTTGTGGCTATATTTAGGCTCGATTTCTGTTGAAAACAAAGTAAATTCCTTCACTAGTAAAACTAGAAAAATCCAAAATGAGTGAATATGAAAGATATCCTATCAAATTTACTGTTCCAATAAGTTTTTTTTTCTTCTTCAGGAAACTGCTGGTTTCTGGCCTCTGTTGGGGCTCTAACATTTCAAAACAAATTATTACAAAAGGTCGTCCCAGACGGACAGTCATTCAGACACAATTATACTGGTTTATTTCACTTCAGGGTAAGTTCCTCTTTTTTCATGCCATCGTTTTCTATATTTAATTCTATTTTGATCATATTATCCAGAATCGAAACCCCAAGCAATAGTTATTCCTGTTAGTTTTTCACTCAGTGTTCTGCTTATTTAAACTTACAGTTCTGGCGGTTTGGGAAATGGTACGATGTTGTAATTGATGACAAACTGCCAACAATCAACCGCAAGCTGATTTTTGTCAAATCAAAAACATATAATGAGTTCTGGCCAGCCTTGCTGGAGAAAGCATATGCAAAGTAAGTGCCTGTACAGCTTTTAGTGACTTTATAAAAAATCATTTCAAGTATATGTAAGCAATAGTGCTGTTGTATTGAATATAAGAACGACTGTAATTCAACCTGTGACTCGTGTACAGTAATAGTCATCAAATTTATGTCTATTACATTGCGGCATACAATTTAGAGTTTGAATGACTGTTACAGGGTGTGCGGCTCCTATGCTGACATGCACTATGGCCAGGTATCTGAAGCCCTCATGGACTTCACCGGTGGGGTTCATGTGCACTACGAACTGAAAACGCCTCCAACTGATTTGTGGAAGATAATGTACCGTGCGTTCCAGTCAGAAGTCCTTATGGGTTGTGCAACTCCACCAGGGGTAAGCAAAAAGACTTACAGCACTTACAGCACCTTTTAAGCAATGACTTTTATACCACATCATCTGTCTTCTGATAATTTTTCTGTTTCCACAGAATCAGAATGAGCAACGATTACCAAATGGCATTGTTCTGGGCCACGCTTACACTGTGACAAATGTTTACCAGGTAAGACTGCACAAAATCAAGTCTCAGCACGCATCAGATTCAAATAAGGTCTTTAGGTAAATATTTTAGGGACAAAAGATAATGGAAGCCAACCAACTTGATACTCACCCATGCTTTATATGTTTGTACATGATTTGGCCTTTTTGCATAAATCTTAGTGTTTGTTCTGCTCAGTTCTCAAATGTCACAAATGATTAAAAATAAACAGATGCGTTTTACTTCAGAATTCTGGTAAATTACAAAATAAAGCTACTGATAATATCAGAAAGATTTGCCACATTTTCATACTACTAATTATTCATACTAATATATATATATATATATATATATATATATATATATATATATATATATATAACAATCTTTAAAAAAAAATTAACAGGTCATGATGGGTAAATATCCAGTTCAGCTTGTGAGATTGTTCAACCCATGGGGACGCTTTGAGTGGAATGGAGACTGGAGTGACAAGTAAGAACTGATTTTATTTAACCACACATGCTCATCTCATTTTCAAGAGAGTCCTAAAATACAATACACAAAACACCTCATAAAAAAAAAAAAAAAGATAATTAATACACAAGAACAGCAAACCATTAATTAACACTTCCAATAAATGACAACACACTATTTTTTTCATTGTGCAGTTGTCATGAACTACTCCGAGACAAGAAGGTTGAGGATCCAAATGCAGTATTTATTAAACAGGGTAATCCAAAGACGTGATCCAAAGTACAGGCAAGGTCAAACACAGGCAGGCAGTCCATACAAACAAGCACAACAAGGCAGGGAACACGGGAAAAAGAGTAATACACGGAAATGGCAAGAAATCCAAGAGGGAGAATGCTCGGAATTGCAGTGTAACACTAAACAAAACTTCACAGATAATGAATGAGAAAACCAGGCTGATATGGGGTAAGCTAAACAAGATAATGAGAAACAGGTGAATGTGATAATGGATGAAGAGTCCGGGCAGTGAGTTATGGGAGATAAAGTTTGTGAGCGAATGACAATAGTCTGTTGTGGAGTGCCCTCTGGTGGCTCTCAATGGCACTCCAGCTGGTGTCCATTACATAGCCCCACCTCAAAGGAGTGGCTTCCAGACGCTCCTAAAATTGTCCAGGAGTGAGGTGGAGTGGAGGCATTCAGGACCCGGCGGTTCAGGCGCAGAGGTGGCCATGTTGTCCGAAGACACCGTCGTGGAGGTGGCCATGTTGTCCGAAGACACAGACGTAGAGGTTGCCATCTTGTCTGAAGACACAGGCGTAGAGTCGGCCATCTTCTCCGAAGACACAGGCGTAGAGGCTGCCATCTTGTCTGAAGACACAGGCGTAGAGGCTGTCATCTTCTCCGAAGACACCGACGTAGAGGCTGCCATCTTGTCCGAAGACAAAGGCCTAGAGGCTGCCATCTTGTCCGAAGACAAAGGCGTAGAAGCTGGCATCTTGTCCGAAGACACAGACGTAGAGGTTGCCATCTTGTCTGAAGACACAGGTGTAGAGGCTGCCATCTTGTCTGAAGACACAGGTGTAGAGTCGGCCATCTTCTCCGAAGACACAGACGTAGAGGCTGCCATCTTGTCCGAAGACACAGGCGTAGAGGCTGGCATCTTGTCCGAAGACAAAGGCCTGGAGGCTGCCATCTAGTCTGAAGACACAGGCGTAGAGTCGGCCATCTTCTCCGAAGACAAAGGCCTAGAGGCTGCCATCTTGTCCGAAGACACAGGCGTAGAGGCTGGCATCTTGTCCGAAGACACAGACGTAGAGGTTGCCATCTTGTCTGAAGACACAGGTGTAGAGTCGGCCATCTTCTCCGAAGACACAGACGTAGAGGCTGCCATCTTGTCCGAAGACACAGGCGTAGAGGCTGGCATCTTGTCCGAAGACGCAAATGTAGAGGCTGCCATCTTGTCTGAAGACACAGGCGTAGAGTCGGTCATCTTCTCCGAAGACACAGACAGAGGCTGCTATCTTGTCCGAAGACAAAGGCCTAGAGGCTGCCATCTTGCGGCCATCGGAGCTTGGTGCATACTTCCCCCTCCCAAAAAATGTCTAAGGGAAACGTTCTCCTCAATCTCCCCGACAGTGAAGGAGAAACCAGTCAAATGAAGGTCATAATCTAGGTACTGAATGAGTGACCCTCGAGGACCATCACGGATTAGTGTGGATTGTAAAGTGTTGTTGAGTCCATAACAAAAGAAGTCATAATAAAAGCAGAGTCTGGGAGGTAAGTGAAATTGGCAATGTTCAAGAAGTCCTGGATATGGTCCTTGAGTGGTCGATTACCTTGATGTAGGCGGAGGATCTCAACTGCTGGATCCATAGTGGCGAAGTCTTCTGTCACAAGCTGCTCCGGGACAAGAAGGTTGAGGATCCAAATCAGTATTTATTGAACAGGGTAATCCAAAGACGCAATCCAAAGTACAGGCAAGGTCAAACACAGGCAGGCAGTCCATACACACAAACAAAACAAGGCAGGGAACACGGGCAAAAGAATAATCCACGGAACAGGCAAGAAATCCATAACCAAAAGACATGAAACCATGGAGAATGCTCGGAATTGCAGTGTAAGGCCGTGTGTCCACCAAAGCGTTTTTAGCCGTGTGAAAACGCTAGGCGCTCTGCTGAAAACGCCCAGCTGTGGGCGCTTGAGAGCGTTTTGGCAGCGCAGCGTTTTTTCCGTTGAGACGCTTCGTTGCTATGATACAGAATATCTGAATAGAATATTCCGATTACCGGGTGTTATTTATAGAAATGTATCTAAAAAAAATTAGCTTTGACGGTTTGCAAGCTAACGTTACGCTAACGTAGATCCCGGCCCCCACCGATCAGCTGTCTGACTGCTTACCTGATAGACCGATCGCCGATGAAATGTTCCTCCAAGCATTGTTTTTTAAATTCACATTGTGGTAATCCGGGGATGTCATCTGGTATAAACACGTATTTTCGGAGACCAGCAATATACATTTTTCATCCATTTTGTTCAGCTCTACTGGTTGATGTCCTTGTACACAAAGAATGTTGAATGACAGTTGGTCGGTGTGATATTAGCAGTGATGGGAATAACGGCCGTTAAATAACGCCGTTACTAGCGGCATTACTTTTTCCAGTAACGAGTAATCTAATTGATTACTCTTCTCATCTTAATAACGCCGTTCCCGTAACTGCCAAAAAATGCGGCGCGTTACTATAACTGATGAAGCTGGATTTTTTTTTTCCTCAGACCAACTAGATCTCTGAGCGAGAGGCAAATACTTTTTTTACTGTTCTTCCTTGGTTAGTGGGCAGAGCACGAGACAAGCGCATAAATGCTGACGACTGAGGTAGAGTAAAATGTCATTGTAAGCCAATCAGAGGTAGAGTTGGGCGGGTGTTCGAAAGCACGCATAGTAGTAGGCATTCGGCACTTTTGACTCAGCTCACTGAAAAGAGCCGGCTCTTTTGGCTCACAAACGGCTCTTTAAGTGACTTTGACTATAATATTTAAATTTTTATTACATAATTATTTAATTTCTATAGGCTAAATTAGTAAAAAATAGAGTCGGCTCTTCAGATATGCGAGCCAGCTCCCGACGTTCACCTAAAAGAGCCGGCTCTTAGAGTCGGCTCATTCGCGAATCGCGAACGACCCATCAAAAGCTCATTCGCGAACGAGTCGATCCATCATCACTAACGGCTAACGCTCATGAATTGCGAACGACCCATCATAACGCATAGTCGGACAGGACAGGACACACAATGAACAACACAAGCAAGCCAGTCAGTCAACGAGAGACAGGTATGGCGACGAGCTTGACAAGCTTAATTTAATTTTGCCCAGTTGTGGCCTGTTGAGGGGCAATAAATATAAAAAGTTCCAAAACATCTATTGTGTTATTTGCATTGATCTACTATATAAACATAATATCTACATGGCATTTGATTGGAGGCTAGTCTCACTTTGTCCCACAGCAAAAAATTTTTTTTTTTTGATGTGTGTACAATGTTCCATGTTTCTGTTAATAATGTATTGTATTAAGTGTCCATTTCATTATAATATTCAGATTTATCATAAATAATTGAACATGCACATGTATTGTAAGTTCCGTTAAAGAGGGGTAGAGGTGGGGTCACATTTGAGCATTTAAATTTAAATTTTACTTGAAAGTAACGCAATAGTTACTTTCTTAAGTAACTAGTTACTTTTAAAATTTGTAACTGAGTTACTAATTTAGTTACTTTTTGGAAGTAGTAACTAGTAACTGTAACTAATTACTTTTTAAAAGTAACTTGCCCAACACTGGATATTAGTCCCGCCCCTCCTCCACTGTGATTGAACGGTTGGTGAAAAGTGACAGCGATGAGCACTGCGTTTTATCCAAAAGTTGGACATTTTTCAACTCTCGACCAGTAAAAATGCCGGGCGCTCAGCGCTTCAGCGTGTAAAAAACGCCGAACGCTCAGCGCTTGAGCGTTAAATACACGCTCAGCGCCTCGTTGCGCTCATGGCGTTTAAAAAACGCTGCGCTCCCATTGAAAACAATTGAAAACGTACGCCAGGCACGAGTAAAAACGCTTTGGTGGACACACGGCCATAACACTAAACAAGACTTCCCAGATAATGAATGAGAGAACCAGGCTTATATGGGGTGAGCTAAACAAGATAATGAGACACAGGTGAATGTGATAATAGATGAAGAGTCCGGGCAGTGAGTTATATGAGATGAAGTTGTGAATGACAATAGTCTGTTGTGGAGTGCCCTCTAGTGGCTCTCAAGGGCACTCCAGCTGGGGAACGTTACAGCAGTGTAGTTGAATCTAAGGAGGGATGCGTGACGCAGAATGACAATGAAATACAAGTTTAAATAAACAAATAAAGCAAGTGAACTCTACACATCTACCATTACTTCAACGACAAACACAGAACTGAGGAAACTAAATACACAGGATGGCAATCAAAGAAGCAGGGAACAGGTGTTAACTAATGAGAAACCACAGTTACAAACTATGAACTAGAAATCAGCAAAACAGTGACAAGGAAAACCATGACAAAGAAACTAACACAACATGACAATAAAACTATTAAACTAAACAAGACATGATAAAGAAACAAAACATTACTTGACCATGAAAATGTTTGCCTTGCAATAATACAGTGGGGTAAATAATTATTTGATCCCCTGCTGATTTTGTAAGTTCGCCCACTTACAAAGAAATGAAGGGTCTACAAATTTTATGGTAGGTTTATTTTAACTGATATAGACAGAATATCAACCAAACAATCCAGAAAAATCACATTATATAAAGGTTATAAATTGATTTGCATTTCAGTGAGTGAAATAAGTATTTGATCCCAAAGCTAAACATGCCTTAGTACTAGGTGAAGAAACCTTTGTTGGCAAGCACAGAGGTAAGATGTTTCTTGTAGTTGGTCACCAGATTTGCACACATCTCAGGAGGGATTTTGGTCCACACCTCTTTACAGATATACTCCTTAAAAAGGATTCTTGGCTGTCGCTTGGCGACTCAAAGTTTCAGCTCCCTCCACATATTTTCTAAAGGATTAAGGTCTGGAGACTGGCTAGCCCACTCCAAGACCTTAATGTGCTTCTTCTTGGCCCACTTCTTTGTTGGGTCCTAACTGCCTTGAGATCATTAACAAACTCCTCCTGTGTAGTTCTGCGCGGATCCCTTACCTTTTTTCATTCTCATCCTTACCCCATGAGGCGAGATCCGAATTATCACACCAACAAGTCTACAATCTGGTTGTTTGACGTTTGACAGCTCTTTGGTATTGCCCATGGTGGTGGAGAGGTTGAAATGGAAGATACAGATTCTGTGGACAGGTGTCCACTGACATCAGGACATTAGGAGTAGCTACTTTCTTAAAGTGACAGGACTAATCTGTGTTCCACATGGGCACATAACCAATCTGTGGGAGGCAGAATTCTTGCTGGTTGCTTGGGATCAAATACTTATTTCACTCGAACAAATGCTAATCAACTTACAACCTTTATATAATGTGTTTTTCTGGATTTTTTGGTTGATTTTCTGTCTCTATCCATTAAAATAAACCTAATATGGTATTATGGACCCTTCATTTCTTTGAAAGTGGCAGAACTTACAAAATCAGCAGGGGATCAAATAATTATTTACCCCACTGTATATACAGTATATAAACATATATATAACATCATCTAAATCAGTGTTTCCCACCCCTGCTCCTGAAGGACCCCCAACACTGCACGTTTTCTTTGTCTCTCTAATCAAACACACCTGATTCAACTCATCAGATCATTATCACATGGGGATATACGTATGTGATAATGAGCTGATGAGTTGAATCAAGAATGTCACCATCTTTATTAATTGGAGTAATACTAGAATACATCCAGATAGTTAGTGGATCAGCCAGTGGATACATAAGGATATGAGAAGCAAATTTAATGTATCTATTATTAAGACTAATAACAATAACATTCAAAACTTCTGTAGGTGTTATGTTAGTAAAAGAAAAAATACTGACAGAGTATATTATTGAAGCTATTCATATAAGAATGGTCAGATTCAGATGTTAAAGTAGACTGTAGAAAACTTTGACCAAATTGAGCAAAAGATAACATATCATGAATTATATCACACGATAGTAGCAGTTTAAGATAACTAACTTTCAGAACAACTGGCAGTGAAAACATTTAACAACAAATTATTCTATTTTTTGCAGTTCTCAAACAAAAAAGTTTGTGAAATTGTTTGATTATTGCATAGTCAAAATGATCCATTATTCTGATGTATGTTTTACATCATTCTTTCAGATCACCCTTGTGGAACACAGTGAGTGATGAGGACCGCAAACAACATCTTCAGGCTGAAAATGGAGAGTTCTGGTGAGTATGAACCATGTTTTGAAAAAGATTCTTAATGCATAGTAAAACATGAATTACATTTAGTCTAGGATTTACATATGAAGTGTTTTTTTGTTGTTGTTGCAGGATGTCAATGAATGATTTCCTTAGAACATTTGACAACATGGATATCTGCTGTTCCTGTCCTGATTTTCTGGAAGAAAAGTCTGCATGTCACTGGATTTCCAAGTTCCACCATGGCAGCTGGGTTCCTGGGAGTACAGCTGGAGGCTGCATGAATCATTCAGGTGCTTTAATTAATTATAAATATAAAGCTTCTAGTCATCATGTAAATCTGCTTCTAACACCCGTGTCCTGTAATTGTAGACACCTTCTTTACCAACCCCCAGTTTTGGCTGAAGATTAATGAGATGGATAAGGCCTGTGAGCAGGGCCAGAGCAATGTTCTGGTGTCCCTCATACAGAAACCTGACAAGAGAAACAGACGCAATGCTTCACACCATGACATCGGCTTCTACGTGTTTGCGGTCAGTATTCACAAAAAAATAAATAAACATATAAACAAAACAAAACCTGCAAAGGCAATAAATATGGTTGTACAATGATGCCTTTGTGCTTAGAGTGTAACATTTATTTTTGTTTTGAACTTTTACAGGTTCCACCCGAGGCAAGTAAAATTAGTTTTTAATCAGTTTTTAATACATATTACATAAGTTGTCATACCTTTCTGACACGTTTTTTGTTTAATCATCCTTTAGATGAGATCTGAGGGAAAGTTTGGATCAAGCTTTTTCCATAGTAGAAACTCTGTGGCAACAAGCGGGGCTTTTCAGGATGCAAGACAAGTGATGAAATTATTCAGACTGGAGCCAGGAGAGTATCTCATTGTACCATCCACTGAAATCCCTAATAAGAACGCAGAATTCATCCTGTCCATTCTGTGCAAAAATGAGATAAACATTCAGTGAGTTACATGAAGGACTGAGAGATTGACTATAAGTTTACAATATTCAACATTTAAGTAGATAAACTGACTTTATACACTGAAATGTTCACAATCATGTGCTTTATTACACAGGTTAATTTTTGTTTAAACATGTGTTTTTTTGTTTTATCCAGAAAGGACACAGAAAGGACAGAGAAAGATTTTCTTGTGGATCTTGTAGACGAGGTAATAATACACAGACTTATTTAGTAAAAATGTTTAGTATACTCTTGAGTTTGTCAATATGTGCAATCATTGAATTAGTTACTGAAATATTGGTTTTCTTTCAACTAAACCCTATCTTTGTCTTGTTTTTGTTAACTCTACAATGGGAATGAAATTAATTGTACAATAAAGTTAGAATAATTACAACTTCAGAATCTACATGAACACTTTTCTCTGCACATTGAATATTACATTATTGTTTATTCTATAAAATTATTAATATAATGTTACATAAATTAACATTTTATTCATTTTAAGAGTTGAGAATCTGATATCATGCTGTTTTTTTGGATTTGAAAAGGGCATTTGATACCGTCAATCATCAAATGCTCTTGTCTAGATTGACAAACTTCAATTTTTCCAAACAAGCCATCAGCTGGATGAATTCCTACTTAACCAACAGAACGCACTGTGTCTCTGTTAATAATATTAAATCTCCTCACCTTGAATGTTCAGTAGGAGTCCCTCAAGGCTCTGTACTTGCACCAATTTTATTTTCCTTATACATTAACGACCTGCCTACAGTATGCCAAAACATCAATATTTTAATGTATGCAGACGATGCAGTAATTTTTACACACGCCAAAACTGCTCAAGACGCCTCTCAGTCGCTTACATCTTCACTCACTCGTGTACAGGAGTGGCTTACAAAATCATGTCTGCTATTGAATCCTAAAAAAACTGTTTGTATAATGTTTTCTAAGCGACAAATTGAAATGACACGTTCAAATATATTTTTAAAACAAGAAGAAATACAGATAGTAAATGAATTTAAATATCTTGGAGTTGTATTAGATCCTACACTGTCCTTTAAAAATCATGTCAATTGTCTTTCAAAAACTGTTAAATTTAATCTTGCAAACTTCAAATATATTAGACCATCACTATCATGTAAAGCAGCCAGAATGTTTCTTCACTCTATGATTTTTTCCCATATTGAATATTGTTTTATAAATTGGTCTCTCACAAATGTCACAACGCTTAAACCAATTGAGTCACTTTTTAAACGAGCCTTAAAAATATTTGATAGAAAACCGCTATCACATCACTACTGTTCAATATTACAGAAATATAACTTACTAAGTTTTGAAAATTTTCTAAAGCTAAAATATGCCTGTACTGTATATAAGATCCTTAATGGACTTGCCCCACCCCCACTGAGTGAATACATTACATTAAAAAAACATGGAGAGGGAAGAAGTATTACTAGGGCTTCCATCAGGGGTGATTGTGCCTTACAGGCGTACAACATTTGGACAATATGTGTTGTCAATTAAGGGGTCAGAGATTTGGAACAAATTACCGGTTGTAATTAGTGAATGTCCGACTTACCACAGCTTTAAGAACCAACTTAAACAATGGCTCAAGACACATCAAAATTGTGACCATTAACTAATTTATTTGTTTATTATTTTTTTTGTAAATTGAGGTATATGGTAAGATCACTGTAGTATTGTTTAAGTATTTGTATGTATACCAAACCAGATCCAGCACTTTATTGTAACTTTTAGAACTTTAGCATAATTGCAATGTAGTTAAAGTACATAGAATAGCACTTTATTTGTATATGTGTATGTGTAACTTGTTTGAAAACAGTGATGTCTCTTGTAGTATGTTATTTGAATATTGAGGTGTCCTTAAACTGTGTAGTATTATATGTAAATTTAAATGTTAGCATTGTTGTTTGTTATTGTGATGACCTGACGGGGGACTGCAGATGTAAAGTAGCCCTGGGGCTAATTCTGGCATATTTACATCTCTGAAAAGATGTTCATTAATATGCATTGTCCCTTTTAAATAAATAAATAAATAAATAAATAAATAAATAAATCTAAAATTTGTAAAGAGTAGATTATCAGAACTCAGACATTTATTTTCTGCTGTAGAAATAGGGACTCTAATTGTGATTTTAGCAGTTGCCGATGCTACAGTTGTCTCTTTTCTCATATTTAGGTCGCATACAACGATAAAGTGGATGAAGTATTGAAAACTAAAACTTTGTTTCGGCAATATTCCGATCAGGTAAATATGTAAGGTAATATATTATCAAAAAACAAACAAAATATAGCTGCTACAAGCTTCAAACTCTTGTGTCTTCTTTTGAAACAGTACAAAGTTGTTGATGCTGAGAAACTTCAACAGATTCTTCATGAAAACCTACTTAGAGGTGAGTGTTTTAAAAATCCTGTACGTTCTATTGCTAGTTTATAAATCTTAAATTGCCTCATAAATCACTCAAATGTGACCCGTACGTTTTAGGAAATAAAAATACTGAAGGATTTGGCCTGGATTCCTGCAGAAGTATAATTGCCATGTCAGATGTATCCTTTGTTCCTTAAACAAGTAATTAAAAACTAACTATTAAAAAATAATATGTTTAACAATGATATATGATTTATCCACATTTATCCGCTTGTGTTTCCAGTCATACTGTGAAGAAACATGTTTTAGCTCTAGAAATATTTCCTGACAATAAAAATAGTTCTCTGTCACTGGAAGACTTCATGGATCAGAATTTCTTCGTCTGTGGACCCGCATTAAGATGTACAAGGTGAGTGGATTTGGTTTGGAATTTAGCTTCGATTGTTATTGTATTAAGACAAGAAACATGGCACTTACAAGACACTTACTTTTTTTTTTTTTTTTTACAGGAAATCTTCTACAGCATGGATACTTCCAAAGATGGCGTTCTGTCTTTGAACGAACTGCAAAATGCATTAGAGAAAACAGGTTGAAGCTTATACAGTTTATACTTTGCTGCAGTAAAACATTGTAGAAAATATTGTAATTTCTTTAGTAGTAGAAAAGTATTCAATATTTGCACTAACTATTTTTTACAAACATCGCTGCTGGTGGTACAGTGTATATCTATAGCTGCCCAGTGACCCCTAAAATTGAAAACAGAGATATTATGATATAATATTTTCATTCACACATTGTATGGATCCTGTATTTACTGTATATCATGGTTTTTGTGCCCTAGGCTTGCATCTAAATGAAGACATCCTGAGTCTCATGGTTGTGCGGTATGGTGGTGCTTCAGAACAGATCTCTCTGGAGGGTTTCATTTGCCTTGTCATGCGTTTGAACTGCATGGCTAGTGAGTAACACTAGACAGAAAGACAATTTGATGTTCTCTCTCTCTCTCTGGTTTCCTTATACAGAAAGCTGGAGCCTTTCCCAGTACAAACACTCACATTCACACTCTCACTGTAACATCTATGGGCCATTTTAAACTTTCCAATTTAACCAAAGTCCACACAGAAATCCTCTGAGCCACCGTGCCGGCCTAATTTGATGTTCAGGACTGTAAAATAAAATGTAAAACTCCTGAAATAGTTTGAGCTAAATACCCTGGGTATTTATTATTATTTTTATTATTACATTTTAACAGTCTTTATTTTCTTCACCAGGAATATTCCAGAGACTCTGTGAAAGTGGGAAGATAACTCTTAATGAGAGTGAGGTAATCCTGATGTAAACATAATTTTTTTTCCATATCTCCAACCACATACTGTACAAGTGTTTAAAAACATTCTGCTTGATTTTATTTGTTATTTTTATCATAAAAAATTCATAAATTTACAACCTATTTCTGTGTTTTAGTGGATTGGACTCACCATGTACTCTTGAGGGAACGTCTGTTTGCCAGGAGGTTTGCCAACAAACGCCAGAACAGATCGGCAGTTTAGGCAGTCTAAACATTTATTTTATTTCATTTTTTTTATATCAAACTAATAAACAACTTGTGATGCTTATTCTTCATCCTTTTATCCCTCTAAGAATTAAAATGCTTTTGCTTTTCTTAAAATTATTATTTGATATACACATTTCACATGATCAATTTGTTTGTAATTCTGAAATTTGTGCAAAAATAACCGTATTAACTGTCTGTTTGAAAAGGGATTCATGTAATGGATGTATTATTTCTCATGTTGACCACCTGGAGTCACAGTTGTCGGATTGTTTGTTTTGGTTTTGAAACCTCCTATTGTTGTCATTGTTAGTTATCTAGGTTTGAAAAAAAAAAAAAGAGATGACATTTGAACAAACCCTGTGTTGCTAGGGTCATTTTTTTTCAGATATTTTGAATAATAATGGGTAACCAAATAGTTGATGGGCTCCATTAAGTTAACTCCCATAGTATGCAAAAAAAACACAAAAAAACATGTAAGTCAATGGGGTACATCTTTTTTTGATATTCTTCAAAATATTTTCTTTTGTGTTCAAGACACCCTCATGTTGTTCCAAGCCTGTATGAATTTGAATAAATGATGACAGAATTTTCATGTTTGGGTGAACCGTTTGGTATAGGGTCAAAATGCTGCAATTATACATGGTGTAATAGCTTATTTCATCCTTCATGCTGTCAAAACACTAATAAAAAATGAAAACAAAAATAGTAGCCTATCAGTAGCAGTGTTTCCCCTAGGATTTTTTTCTCTCTTTTTGCTAGTGTTGCGGAGCGGGCGTGTTACGGATACGTGGTGTAAATTTTTTTGCGATCAAAAAGCATGTCTAACTAATTGAAATCATGTATTATGAATCATTAAACTTATACAACATTTAAAAAATATGTATATGAAAAAAAATGTCACACTAATTCTGTGTTGTGTTTTTTTCTGGTAATAAAATGAAGACATAAAAAACAAATTTTATCATTTATCATCAATTTTGAAATTAAAGAAACGTTTTGTCAAATAACGTGCTGCACAATGAGCTTTACTGTTAAAATTAAAACATGGATTATTCCTTAAAAATTTCAGTTTTGATGATAATTTATTTGGATTAGTGTTAGTGTATTATTACATTGGGACATATCTAAATTATATTGTACAACAGTGTAAGACTGGAAAACTGGTTAAAGAGAAATTATCTGACCACTGGTCTCCGAAGACAAAGGACCTTGCTTGCAAATTAACATGTGAACAACTCTCTCTCACACACACACACACACACACACACACACACACACACACACACACACACACACACACACACACACACACACACACACACACACACAGCTTCCCCCCACTCTTGCAGATCACCTGAAACTCACATAAGTATATATGTATGGTTTTAATGTGAATGATTATCATTAAGGATTGTGTTTAGTATCATTTTAAAGGTCTCAGGGTGGCTGGTACGAGTGTCTCATTCCAAAAGAAGTAAAACAAAAGGTAATAAGGTTATTAAGAATATATAAATATCCTTCACACAGAAGGGTTTGCTTTGGAGTTAACACCTTCTGGCCTTTTGTTTGAATGCAAATTACAACTAAGCAAATGGTTACCTACCAGTAAATTTCCACTGGAACTTACATATGAAATGAGGTCATGGTATATAAGGAAATGCAACTGGAAGATCAGGGCTGTTTTCTGTATCTCAGATCAGCCCGTGAGGATAGCTCATGTAGTTCTTAAATGTTGGGTTTGCATCTATTTCTCTTATCAGAGCATTTGATGTTTTGTATTGATGATCTTTGAACTGATTATGAAATTGGCATAATACTTTTACCTGACATAATAAATTGTTATATTTGATTATTCTAACAGACTTTGACTTTATTTTCCTTGGAGTTAAAAGGAATAGTCAAACATTAACGTATACTTAATGATGCACAGATATCATTGAAAAACACTTTCATTTTATGGAGTCAGATGAAACGAGTTAATACATAAGACAAAATATATTATATTTAATTAAAAAATCCTTTTGCCATTGGAAGAGACGGAACGCGCGTTGAGACCTTCACCGCTAATTTGAATGCCGCCCTTGGATCGAATTAGACGGACTTACAACAGTAATATATTTCTGTCAAGTTAAACCGAACTTTTATTTTGACGGGTTGCCGTGAAGACCTTTTGAGTTTCTGTGCGTTTATGTCATGATGATAGTTCCCTTTCGAGGGAACTCGAACTGCGTCGGTGACGACACTAGGGGAACACCCTTCAGCGTAGCGCGTCTGAATTTATGAATGAAACCGAATCCAATCCTATTGGCGTTGCGTGATGACGTAGCGTGTGACGGCACAAGCGGATGTGTACAAAGGCACGCCGGCACACAGAAAATGTCAGCTTTTTGCTATTCAGCAAGCGCTCTGTGTTGTGAAAATCAGTTTGTCCTATTTGGTGTTGTTTGTCTCACACCCCTTACCCCGTCCACACTCAAGGTTTATGTGGCTGCCATTGCGGCTTTCCACGCTCCTCTGAGTGATGGTCCTCTGGGGAGGCATCACCTGGTCGTACGTTTCCTCCGTGGAGCCTGGAGGATGAGACCTGCGACTCGCACCAGGGTTCCCTCTTGGGACCTGGCAGTGGTTCTCGAAGGGCTGGCCGAGGCCCCCTTCGAACCATTGGAGTCGGCTGAGGCCAAGAACCTTTCGTTTAAGGTGGTCTTTTTGTTGGCCATTACTTCTCTGAGGAGGGTAGGAGATCTCCAGGCGCTCTCTATTTCCGTTGGGTGCTTGGAATTTGCTCCAGGCAACATTAAGCCCATCTTACACCCCAGGCCCGGCTATTTGCCCAAGGTGCCTTCTAATGTGGCACGGCCTATGGTTCTGCAGGCATTTCATCCTCCACCTCATGTGACGGCGGATGAGGGGAGACTTCATCTGCTCTGCCCTGTCAGAGCACTGCAGTGTTATATCCAGAGGTCCTCCTCATGGCGGAAGTCGGACCAGTTGCTGGTGTGTTTTGGGTCGCCCAAGAAGGGGCTTCCCGCCTCTAAGCAGACCATCAGCAACTGGATCGTTCAGACTATTTCCCTGGCCTATCAGGTGCGCAATTTGCCTTCACCTATGGCCGTGAGGGCTCACTCCACCAGAGGCGTCCTCTAGAGCCCTCCTTTCAGGGGTTTCTATCCATGACATATGTGAGGCGGCTGGCTGGGCCACTCCGCACACATTCATGAGGTTTTACAGTCTGGATCTTCCCTCTACACCCGGTGCACGAGTGCTTTCGTCCTAAGTTGAGGCTGAAGACAGCTTCACACTAGGATGAGCGGGGTTCGTTGTGGCATAGTGGGTATCTCGTTCCCCTAGTGTCGTCACCGACGCAGTTCGAGTTCCCTCGAAAGGGAACGTCTCGGGTTACGTATGTAACCCTTGTTCCCTGAGAAAGGGAACGAGACACTGCGTCGTTCTATTTAGTTTGTAGCTGTATGACGACCAACAGAGAATAGTAGCTACAGCAGATATTTAGTTCGAGGATCCATATGATTACATGGTACTGTCTAATGGGCTAAATTTGGTTAATATCTAAATGTAACTTTATATAAATTCATAATATATTTCACTCAGTCTCCCATAAAAACCTACGGTGAATAGGCCTATAACTGCAGCAGGTCATATACTTGTCATAATTGATCCAACTATGTGTATTTTTTATTTTTCAATTCACAAAAACTCATAGTCTTTTGTAGGCTGAAAATTGGCTGAAATCAAACTGAATATCTACAGACATTTTAATCCGTGCAGATCTACACTGTAGCGTTTATATTTAAATGAACAAAAAACTAAAAAATTGTCAAGTCTATGGACGAGTTATTAATGTGCACGTGTCGATTTAATTATGTTATTTTGCAGTGTATCCCTCTACTGGACGCATCAGGAACAACATGGGGCGTCAAACTGTCAGGGTCGCAAAACTGCCAGGGGCGTATATCTGCCGGCTCCAGGTCTGCAGCCTCCCCATATAGGATTCGTTCTGTGTGATTCGTTCCATTTATAAATACGAACAGGATTCGTATTTAAATAGTCTTTGTGTTTTAATTTTCACTCACACTAGTCTACATCGCGATTTGATTTTAAGTGTACTGAACTGCTTTCTATTTATTCCTCAAATTTACAAATTCCAAATTCCAAAACAATGGTAGGGGAAACACTGAGAAGTGAATGTTGTACTTTCAGCTCTGGTGTGAACAATTCCAGAGTAATCACAGATATCTGGGAGAATCAGAGACGGAGGAAATGTTTCAGGTAAATCTAACTGTTACTGTACAGTGAAAACGGGGGGGAAATGGAGATGTACAGTAATATAAAATCCGAGACATGTTCGTCTCTGTCTATTGACCTTAGTTAGCGTAGACGACATATTGAACTTACAGACTTTACAATGGCTGTATAAAAGTCTTTTTTAAATGTTCAGATCTCACAACTTTCAATAATTTAATGAGTTTTTATCCTCTGACTTTTTTTTTTTTTACTGGTAAACAACAGTACAATCTCTCACAGCAATTTGTATGCCTTTTACGCAGTATATTTGTGTAATGTAAAATATTAATTTTTTGCAGGTTTGCGTAATATTGTTAGTCTGCATTTCACCGTTTTATTCATTTTGAGGAATACTAAATCTGTTTTTGTGCAAGTGAGATGGGTAAATGCATGCTCACATTTAGTCTAAAACTACAATAAACCATCGTGTTTACACACAACATCGCCGCACTTACGATTTCTCTCAACATGGGGACAGAAGAGGTGCAACTTACTTATTTGAAGTAACTTACTGTAGATATTTTGTTGTAAATTTAAAAGTAATGTGTTAATTAGTTACTTGAAAAAAAGTAATCTGATTACGTTACTCAAGTTACTTGTAATGCGTTACCCCCCAACACTTCCGGGGTTTAGTTCTTACTCAAAAGTGCTCATCAATATGTGTTTTTTTGTAAACTTTGTTTCTCAACTGACTAAAA